TCATCCATCATCCATCATCCATCATCCACCATCCATCCATCCATCCTGTACGTCTGCAGGTTGTCCATCCTGTCTCCATGTTCAGACGATGGACCCTCAGAACTCTGGAAGAACCTAACCCTGCTTCACCAGAACCAGAACCTCTGGCCCAGCTAACAGAGGTGCTGGAGTAAAGAGCCAGAATCCAGATGTTGGTCAGAAAGGTTGTTGGTCCTTCTTGCTCCTGAAGAGGTTCTGCTCTGTGATGGTCTGTCGTCATCTGGATCTTCAGCCATCATCAGTCTCTAACCAGGACTGACAGAACAGAACTGTTTACTAGACTTTACCTCCTGATCAGGAGATGTTGGACCTGATGCGAGGGTCAGGCCTTTTAGGAGGACCCTGATTCCAGACTGACTGCCAACACAGAGGGATCCGGGTTCTGACTGACCCGGTCCGATCCATTCTATTCATGTTCTGTCCTCCATGAGGGGAGGTGATGATGCACGGTCAGAACGTCCATCTTTCCTGTTTTCCTGCTCTGCTTGTGTCCAGCGTTCTGAAAAGCTTCAGGTGAAAAGTCAGAAGCTGAGCTTCTGTTTGGGTCCAGAACTTTGTTAATTCAGCTGGTTAAACCCAAACTGTTTTCTGCAGGATCCTGGTTTGGATCAGAACCAGCAGCCTCCTGGGCCGTCGATTACTGGGAGCCAGTGGAGTGAGAGACTGAAGCAGAGTCAGAAAAACTTTCTGCAAATGGAGGGTGTGTGTTCAGTATGTATAATGGATCAGCCCTGAGGGCAGCCTGCGAGCCCGCGGCTCGGCACACACACCGACACACACCGCCGCACACCAGCAGCACTGCAGCGCTCCCTGTTTGGGCCATTAGCTGCAGGGTAGATCTATAATGTATGTGTGTGTGTGTGTGTGTGTTCAGGTAAGTAACATCCATTAGTAAGTTTCTCCTCATAAAATGGATAAACACACACAGACAGAAATGCTAAAGCTCCTAGCTACAGCCGCTACAGAGCATCACTGGCTGCATCCTCCTGACTGATCTCTGAACCATTGACTCCCCGTTCAGTTCTTGTGGCCACCGGCTGCTGATCTGATTACTGATCACATGATCGATGGGTCAGTCAGGGTGCCAGAGCCGCCAGAGAGCATCAGAAAGAACTGGCTTAGCAAGAACTAACAGGAACAAGTTAGCTGCAGAGGATCCAGATGGAAGCAGAACTCCAGTCTTTGGAGGTTGTTACCATCAGTGAGTTCAGAGGAGGAATGGAGGTAACGTCTGGACAGGGGAGGATGATGGCGAGGGAAACTTCAGACCATGATCCCAAAACGGTAAAGCTAAAGTCCCTAGAAATATGGAAAGCACCTCTGCAGACAACCTGTGTAAAAGAACAGGTGGGAATCGAACGGTCGCTTCAAGAAGCCGAGTTATACAGACAGGAAACATCATCAACTGGTCAGACAGGAAACATCATCAACTGGTCAGACAGGAAACATCATCAACTGGTCAGACAGGAAACATCATCAACTGGTCAGACAGGAAGCATCATCAACTGGGCGGTAGAAACATCGGACTGGCTCCTTCTAGCATCTCCGACCCTTTGCTTCATTACCCTGAGCTAATAAAACTTAGGCTAACTGGCTGGTTGCCAACCAACCAACATTCATTAGGATTACGGGGGAAGGAAATAAGATCTGTTGATGTAGACATCAGCGGCGTCCTTGCTGGTCCTGACGCATCCAATCACTTTACCGACGGTGGACTGCGGCGGGCAGTTATCTGAGCTGCTGAAGGAGGTCAAAGCCTCGTCAGATTCTCTGGAGCAAAACCAGCTGACCTTGGCCTCCTGAGAAGGTGGAGGACATGGTGGACCTTGCTTCCTGCTCCAGTCCAACAGGTCCTCCACCTCCATCCTGATCCTGGGGAATCTGCTCCACCACTACTGGGTCATCTCCAGATGGAGAAGATCATCCATCAGAGGGGCCCAGAGATGGTGAAAGTCCAGGTGGCTAGAGTCCAATTGGTCAGAGAAGCATCCAGATGTTAGCCAGGGTTAGCATAGTATGGTCCGACTCCTGCGGTGTTTGATGCTAGCTGTGTATCTCTTAAGGTACTACCCAGTGACACATTGGACTGAGGTCCAGGAAGTAAAGGAAGGCAGACTGACAGCAGTGCTTCTCCCGGTTGGACCAGAGCAAAGGATGGAGGGATGGCATCTACAGAAGAGTCCTGATTGTTGGTCTGGATCCACATTACAGCCCACCTTCTTCTCCATGGGGTCGTCCCCAAAGGGTCTAACATCTCAGAACTGTCAGCGTACCAGAGGACTGTCCTTCAGGCCCCTTGGTACCGCTGCTCACCACGGATGATGGTTCTGGAACGCCGGTACCACGTCCAGAGAGAGGTGTAGTCCAGGTGTCTCTGGACCCTAATGAGCTCAGCACTTGGACTGGACCCATTATCAGACATCTGTGGCTTTGACTGGTCGATATTCAGGCAAAGCTTCCTACAGGATAGGTTTGTTGGAAGCAGAACTTGTGAAGAGAAGCGTTTAGGAACGGAAATCAGAACAGGATCAAACACGAGATGGACCCAACTGTTGGGGTTAGCATGGGTGGTTGGTCCACATCATCTGAGGAAGCAACCTTCACCCAAACACCTTTTCTGGTTTCAGAACACATCAAAGCTACAGCCTGAACCGTTTCTACGCCCCATGGTTCTCACCTCATACTCCTCCTTGAACCCGTAACCTTCAGCACATTTCATCTGGGTGATGTGCTGCAGGAGGTCGGCCACCCGGATGGCCGGATGCAGCTGGCCCGTCTGGTACGGCAGCGCCTCCCGCTCCGCCTCCCGCTGCTTGTAGTGGGACTGGACCAGGCTGCTGGTTTCACTGGTCATAGTGTGGCTGCTGTCGTCTGAAGAACAACAGAGGAAGGAGAAGATGCGGGTGAGACAGAAGGTAACTGGAAAGGCTTTGGACACAGGATGGACTGGAGCAGGCTGAGAGATAAAAGCATGATCTAGCCGGTCGGAGCAGATCCAGTTAGGAGGTCTGAGTTCATTGGTGGAATATTCAAGCTGCCTTCTGGACAGACTCTGACTGGCTGAATGTTGGATCCAGGTGACCTTTTCTCTGATACCATCCTAATGGTGGACACAAACATGGTGGGAACATCTTAGTGACGGACCCTCCCACGTCAACATGTCCTCTACAGAGGAGCACCTCAGGGACTAGGAGTCCACCTCTTCAAGCTTCTCCTGACTTCGTCTTTAGTAGCCATCATTTCCTGATGGTCCAGGAATTCTATCAGACCTTTCATGGCTCTCCTGGTGGTCAGAACCTCAGACTCAGATCTTCCTTCCAGACCAGCGAATGTCTCATTATTTCATTGGTTTAGGATTAAACCACATTTGTGTCGTCATTATCTGATCAGTTAAGGACAGAAGACAGGTGGACCAGGATCCCCAGGTTCTGCTTCTGTCCCTCACATTCGTTATCAGGTCTTTCTAATTATCAAGCAGAGCAGCTCAGTGTTTTTGTGTGGAGACCTGGTAATGTTCTACCGAACAAAGAGCCGGTTCTGATGGTCTGAGGAAGCACCTGATGAGATAAACCAGTCTGAACCAGGTACCTGGATCTCTATCTACTGGACATGAAACCAGTCTCATCCGAGTCTGTCCAAAACCAGTTTGACACCACTTTGTTTTGGTCAGCATCCACTCCCACCAGGCTGTCACCATGACAACACAAAGGAATGACATCACATGACATCACATTACACACATTACATGTCTGAAGAGAGGATGATGATGGGCTCTTTTCACACTGCTAAACCCCCCCCCCACCCCCAGTCTTTGGACAGCAGTGTGAAAGGAGCCGAGTTCAGAGTCCTGGAACCAACCTCCTGTTTTGTAAATGGACCTCCAAGCTGAACCCGTCCAGAACTCTGAGGTGAACACTTCAGCAAAAGACGGCAAACACAACTTCCACTACATTCTCTAGCTGTTCTTATTGGCTAGCCTGGAGGCTGACTGACCAATCAGAAGCCCTCTAACCTAACAGCCCAACCAGTCAAGGTGAGGGTGATGGACCATGTGATGGACGAGGAGCTAGGTGGATGAAACAACCCATCTGAACCAATCAGAGATGACCAGATGCTGAGAGCCGATTGGTTCCACAAAGGATGGTGGGAGGGGCTTGTGTTGTGACATCATAGCTGCACAGAGGGTAGAATGAGGCTTGGCCACACTTATGGATGACATCACAGTGGGTGATGAGTGTGGCTCCATGCGATGAAGTGACACCCCTCAACATGAGCCCCCCCCATTTAGCCCCCACTTTAACCACTTACCATTAATGGGCACTTTACACAGAGAGAGAAGAGAAGAAGAAGAAGAGAAGCCATACAACTNAAGAAGAAGAAGAGAAGCCATACAACTGTCACAGTAATATGGTACTTATGCTATATTCATTTATGACCTGTACACTCCCATTTAGCTTGAGACACGAGATGAGCAACAACTTTAGCTTTTAGCTGCTCGTAAACTGTTCCTCAGCTAACACACAGCTAGCATCAAACATCTGATCACCCTATGCTAACCCGGCTAACGTCTGGATGCCTGCTGATCAGTCAACCGGGGGGGGGGGGACAGTCGGTGGGTTCCACCTCCTGCTATAAGCTGAGGCCTGCAGGGTTTACCGTCTGCTCTCAGGGTTTGAGCATAAAGTGGATCTACTAATTAGCTGACGTCCCGTCAATGTTTGGGCGTATCCATGGCAACTCCAGCTGATCAGGCAGGGATGGTCAAAGTCTGGGGGGGGAAATCTATGTTTCCTTTTTAGCCCAAGCCAGCTGCATCCTGTCTGACGTTTCTTTATCCTGGATTCATTCGGCCAACAGGTGGAGCTTCTAACAGCTTCAGTTTAAAGAAACGCTGCATTTATTCAGTTTGTATTTCCTGGGATTCTCCTGATGTCTGAATGTTGAAAGAAAATTAAAGCTCAGAGAAGCCCCCAGCCACCCCCCCACCCCCCGTCCTAGTGGGCATGTTGTGACCATGCAGAGGTTGGAGGTCACAGACAGATGTGACGTCAACACGACACGCAGGAATGTTGTGGATGTGGGGATGGAGTGAAGCCCACCGTCATTTTAGTAAAAAAAAAAAAAAGGGGGGAAAATGAGGAGCAGCTACTGAACTAAAAGGACCAAAAAAAATATTATCAGATATGAAATAAATCAAGAAAAAAAAATCTAATCAACAGAAAAAACAACAAACTTCTCTTTAAAAGGTTAAAAAAAGGCAAAGCATTTAAAAGACAAAACCTCTAAAGATGCCAGAAATAAACATAAAAACAAGAAATAAACATAAAAACAAGAAATAAACATAAAAACAAGACAGATAAAGAAAAAAGATTAAACGTTTTCAGAAAAACGAAAGAAAAGCAGCAGAACAAGGAGCAAGCAGGGATGGATGGAAGTCTCTTTCTGTCTGTCCCCTCCTCTGTCCTGTCTGTCCACTTCCTGGCTGCCTCTAAACCTCAACCTGACCTCCTGCAGAGGAAACAAGGAAGAGAGTCTCACCGAGGATGGCTGTGGGTACGAATGGATCTGCCATCAGGAGCAGCAGATAGACAGAGAGGAAAGACAGGACAGAGGAGAGAAGGAGACAAAAAGACACGTCAGCTTTTCTGAGTTTGGCTGAATGTTGCTGATTTTATACTGACCAGCTCTGAGTACCTGCTCCGTGATGCATTCACTGACCCAGAGTGATGCATTCACTGACCCAGAGTCATGCATTCACTGACCCAGAGT